CTTCTCAGAGTTTGAGGCTCTTTTGTCTAGTTTTTGACACAATGAATTTTGCATAAATAACAATGGACACAGAAATTTCACAAAGATTATAATAATTTATAATTTGCTGAGTTAAGGTGAAGCTCTCCTGTAATAGAAATTATCCACTGAAAAATCCCTTGCTTTGCCCTTAAAGTATAGCATACATACTTTTATGTATAGCAATATATGAAAATATATACTTTCATGGTGTTTGATTGAAAAGCTGTGGTTCTCAACCAGGAATGATTTTGCCTATTCACTTGATATTTTCACAATAAAATTTTCGATACTCACATGGATACAGAATGGCATCATGTCTCATTTTAATTTGTATCTCCTAATTACTAGGGATATTAAACTTTTTATATATATTTATTAGTATGATTTTCTCTTTAATGAATTGCCTCTACATATTCTTTGTCAGTCTTTCTACTGGTCCTTTGTTGGTTACATAACATCTTTGCTAATATCTTTTACCATTCTGTGGCTTGTCTTTTCATTCCCCTAATTGAGGTTTTTTTGGTTCGTAGATGTATTTATCACTGTTTTCATTTATGATTAAATCTTTCAGGTAAAGATTTTTCCTTCTGTTCTTACGCCTTCTTTAATGTTGCTCAATTAAGTTTTAGTTTTCCTTATGAAGATCTTGCATAATTTTATTACATTTATTCCTAGGCACTTTTTTAAATGTTCTTATAAACAGCATTTTTTCATAATTTCTTCCTAATTATTACTGGTATTTAGAATTAAAATTAGTTTTTGATACTGATTTTTCTATCCAGTAATCTTGGTAAACTCTCTTATTCTTTCTAGAACTGTATCTGGATTCATTTGGATTTTCTACATATATAATCATATCATCTATGAATAATTTCAGATTTCTAATTCTTCTATTGTTTGCTTTTTTTCCTTGCCTCATTCTGCTGGCTAAGATTTCTCTTTAAGTACAGTGATCAACAGAAGTGGTAATATTGGGACATTCCAATCAGAACTACTGTGCCCTCATATCAAAGGTAGAAGTTTTAGTGTTTCACTGTTAAATTTGCTGTTTGCTGCAGGGTTTGTTTTTAGTTTTTTTCAATGTATATATCTCCTTTATCAGATTAAAGAAGTTCCTTTCTGTCCCTAGACTGCTGTGAGGTTTTATCACAGATGATGAATTTCAGCACTTTTTTTTTTTTTTTTCCGAGACAGAGTCTCGCTTTGTTGCCCAGGCTAGAGTGAGTGCCGTGGCATCAGCCTAGCTCACAGCAACCTGAAACTCCTGGGCTCAGGCAATCCTCCTGCCTCAGCCTCCCGAGTAGCTGGGACTACAGGCATGCGCCACCATGCCCAGCTAATTTTTTCTATATATATTAGTTGGCCAATTAATTTCTTTCTATTTATATAGTAGAGACGGGGGTCTCGCTCTTGCTCAGGCTGGTTTCGAACTCCTGACCTCGAGCAATCCGCCCACCTCGGCCTCCCAGAGTAAATTACAGGCATGAGAGCCACTGCGCCTGGCCCTGAATTTTAGCACTTTAACTGCACTTATTGAGAGTGATTATTTTTCTTGAATCTGTTAATATGGTGAATTGCACTGTTTGATTTTCTAAGGTTAAATCATCACATTCTAGTATAAACCCAACTTGGTCCATTCTATTGCTTTCTTCTGCCTGCTAAAGTTTTGGTTAGTGTTTCCATGTGGGAATTTCTCCCCAGCATTTCTTGAGGAATTTTTATTTTTCCAAATTTTGAATCCCAGGAAAAATTAATAAAATCAGGAAAACAGGAAAAAAGTATTAAAATTCTCCTGTGAGAATTAAAGCTTGGCAACCAACATAGACACATTGCTGATTTGAAGGAGTCTACTCATGTAGAACGCATGGAACATTAACACATAGTATTGAAGGTTAAGGTATTTCCAAATTAGGATAGAAACATGCAGTAGAGAAATGGTTATGATGTTGCTTGTAGCTCTTGCTGTGTGTTCGTACCTGGTCTCCTAATAATGGTGAGTCACTTGTTTTTTTAATTGTGGTAAAATGCACATAACAAAATTTACAATCTTAACCATTTTCAAGTGTATAGTTCCATAGTGTTAAAGTATATTTACAGTGCTTTGTAACCAATCTCAGCACTACTTTTACCTTGCAAAACTGAAATTTTATATATCCATTCAACAACAACTCTCCCTTCCTTCCTCTACCCAGCCTCTGGGAATCCGTTTTACTTTCTGTCCCTATGAGTTTGACTATTCTAAGTATCTCATACAAGTGGAATCATACAATATTCGTCTTTTTGTGACTCACTTATTTTACTTAGCATAATGTCCTCAAGGTTCATCTAAGTCATAGCATATATCAGAATTTTCTACCCTTTTTAAGGCTTAATAATATTTCACTGAATGTACATACCACATTTTGTCTGTCCACTCATCCATCGGTGGATACATGAGTTGTCTCCACCATTTAGCTATTGTCACTAATGCTGCTATTTACATGAGTACTCAAATACCTCCTCAGAATTTAGCTTTTAGTTCTTTTGGATATATACCCAGAAATGGAATGGCTGGATCATCTAGTCGTTCTATGTTTAATTTTTTAAGAAGCCACCATACTGTATTTCACAGTGACTGAACAATTTTACAATTCCACCAACAGTGCACAATGGTTCCAATTCAGTATCATCATTAGCACTTGTTATTTTCTGTTTTTTGATATTAGTTGTCCTAATAGGTGTGGGTAAGTTATTCTTGCAAGTAAAAGCATTGTATATTTTATTCAAATCCTATGAGTGGTATTGTAAGAAGTAAGTTTTAGAAGGAAATATGTCTTTCAGTTGACAGTTATAAAACCTGATTCTGTGTACCATTGTTAACCTTTCTAAGAGAGATTAATGTTATTTGCAAACTACCCAAAAATGTTCCCTAATGTAGTGTTTGAATGTTTACTACAGACTTCTAATTCTTTGTAAATACTACTGAACTTAATACTTCTTATTTCTTAAACAATTTTAGATATCTATGGTTATAAGAGTTGCAAGGATTTTAAGAGAGAAAAAGGAAATCAGTCACAGCTCATTGCCAGATTTGTTTTAAATTGGTGTACTGTAAAGCAGCATTGAAAAGTGGACTTCATAGGCATTTCAAACATATTCATCATGAAAGCACAAAAAACACTGAAAATAATCCTAATGAGTCAATGCCTTCTTTTAAGTAAGAAATAATGCCAATTCTACAAAAACTCTTAATATTAGAAGAGCATATTTTATGAGGCCAGCAGTACACTTATATCAAAACCAAAGAATTATTAGAAAACTACAGACCAATATTCTTCATGAACATAGATGCAAAATTCCTTACAAAATATTACCAAATCATTTTTTTTTTTTTTTTTTTTAGATAGTCTCACTCTGTTGCCAGGACTGGAGTGCCGTGGCATCAGCCTAGCTCACAGCAACCTCAAACTCCTGGGCTCAAGTGATCCTCCTGCCTCAGCCTCCCAAGTAGCTGGGACTATAGGCATGTGCCACCATGCCCGACTAATTTTTTCTATATATTTTTAGTTGGCCAATTAATTTGTTTCTATTTTTAGTAGAGACAGGTTTCACTCTTGCTCAGGCTGGTCTCTTAACTCCTGACCTCGAGTGATCCTCCTGCCTCAGCCTCCCAGAGTACTAGGATTACAGGTCTGAGCCACCTCGCCTAGCCTTAGCAAATCATTTCTGTGAATAAAAGAGATAATGCATCAAGACCAAATAGCATTCTGGGAAAACCAATTTGGCTTAATATTTGAAAATCAGTATAAATGACGAACAACAAAAATATGTCAGTAGCTACAGAAAAAAGCTTATGACAAAATTAAACATTCATTCATGATAAAACTCAAACTAGGAATAAAGGGAATATCTTCAACTTGATAAAGGACATCTATGAAAAACTTAACAGTTCACATCATAGTTAACGGTTGGTGATCTATCCTCTAACATCAGGAATAAGGCAGGGATGCCATTATTAACCACTTGTATTCCACATTGTCCTGGAGTGCAATAAGGCAAAGAGAAAGCAATAAAAGTTTCAAAAGGAAGAAGTAGAATTTATTTGTACATGACACGATCATATATATCACCTAGGTAGAAAATCCTAAAGACTTTTATTTCAAAATATTGGAGTAAAAATGTACCCTGGCTGGTGCTGCAGGGAAAGAGATGGAGTTGGTGGGAGTGGGCAGGCCGGTGGGAGAGGCCCTCCTGGGTGACTTGGGCGGATGAGCTCCTTCAGCCTGGCCCATTCTGAGTCAGAGACTAAGAGTCTGTCGCCTATGCCCTAATAGATACCGTGTTTCCCTGAAAATAAGGCCTACTCATAAAATAAGCCCTAGCAGGATTTCTAAGCATTTGCGCAATATAAGCCCTACCCGAAAGTAAGATCTAGTGAAGGCCGTGGCTCCGCATCGCATCTGCACAGCCCATGCGTTTCCTCTCTGAGCAGCAAACAAGATGAGCAGCTCTTCTCATCTGCTCCATGAGAGCTCTATGGCTCGACATGAGAGACTGGGGCCAATGGTTCTAAAGGAAATAAAGTGGTAAGAAATTCAGTATGGAATTCAGGGTTTGGAGAGTTATGATGATGTTCCAGAAGAAGACGACTTAACTATATTTGAACAAATGCAGATTGTTGTACCGTACTTAAAAAATATAACACATCCCGCGAAAATAAGCCCTAGGGTGTCTTCTTGAGGAAAAATAAATATAAGACCCTGTCTTATTTTTGGGGAAACACGGCATATAGATGAATATATGCCTGGCCAGACGCGCCTCAGGCCCAGTCCGGGGCACGGAGGGCCCAGGCCCCAGGAGGGCTGCAGGGGCGGGTCCCGGTGCGGGGAGCCGGGCACGGAAGGGGCGGCTGGAGGCCGGGCGGGGCGGGCCGTGGCGCTGGCTGGCGGTCGCGGCAGTGGTCGCCTCCAGCCGGCGGTGCGGAGCGCAGGCGGAGGTACATGGCCCCGACGGGAGGCGCGCTGCCTGCTCCCAGAGCTCGGCAGCTGGAGCTGGGCAGCGGCACCTCGGCTCCATGCGCCCTCGCCCCTCCGGCTGCAGCGGGCTGGCAGATATGACAGGGCTCGGATTTGCCTGAAGATTTTCTTCATGGCAGCGATGTCTCCTCAGCAGGAGGCTGGGGGGGGGAAGCGGGGGGGAGGCAGCTGGGCGTTCCTCTTCCCTGACAGGAGTGTCTCGTATTGCCGGAGGCACCACACCAAGTAAGTGAGACCGTTGAGCTGGGACGGTTTACCCGACGCAGTCGCTCCCCACTCCCAGCGCGCGCTCTCCGCGCTCGCCATAGCAACGGAGTTTAACGCTCCTGGCCTCGCGGCGTTTGTGCGAGAACATTCCCGCATTCTCCCGCCCCTGAGGGTGGACACGCTGTCTCCAGCGCCGCTCCCTGTACACCCCGATTACCGGGAATGATCCCAAGTACTTCGTATCTTGAGTTTTACTTTTTCTCGGAAAAGACCCCTCAGCCTTCTACCCGGCCTCCATACGCCGCTGGAGGGGTAGCCCGGGCTGGAGTGGGTGCCGCCTTTCCCTGGTCCACCCGTGTGCTCAGCCCTCGGGTCCCCCCGAGGTGGCCCGGGCGCGACTGCCCCTTGGCGGGGTCAGCTCCGAAGTCGTCAGGGCCGGCGGCGTCCGCCCGGAGCGGCAGCCCGCACTGATGGAGGTAGGCGGCTGGGCTGAGCCCGCTCACCTGGCCGGAGGCGCGGCTGCTCCGCGGCAATTTTGGGGGTGGTGGGTGGGGTTCCCGCGCCTGGGTCAAAAGTCCCCTCTCGACTCTGGGTCTCGGAGGTGGGGGTCAGAGGTACGCGGTGCGAACCTTCGTCTCCATGGGAACAAGGAGGTTTGGCTGCGGCCTAGACCCGGGCTGGGTGGGCGTCGGTGGGCTGTGGCGGAGGGTGGCGAGGGCCGAGGCGGGGGCCTGGCCCTGCGCTCGTCCGCTGGCCCTGCGACTCCGGCCGGCTGGAGAGGGGTCGGGTGCCGGGGTGGCTGTGGGGGCGGTGCGTGTTCCTGTCAGAGCCGGGAGGAGGCATGCGGGCAGCAACTTGTAGCGTTCGCTTCGCCTAAACACAGCCGCGGAGCTGCGGGATTCGGATCGCAGTCAGGTTTCTTTGGAAGGGTTCCCTGAACAAGTGCACCTGGGCCGCGAGCTGTTCAGCTCTCTTGGGAATTGATTTAGGTGTTTCTAGCCATGTCCGCCTACCTCCCAACGCCCCAGCATAAGACATTCCGGTATTTGGCCATATTTTCCCCCTTGCGGTAGTGGTGCCCTTGCAGCTTCTCTGGAAACTTGTTGCGATTGGAGGGATTGTCTAGCCCTTCCTTGGGAAATACCTCAACGTGTTGCATTTATATCGTTAGAGACTTAAAGGGTTATGGCAGGCTCCCTGCTTGTCCTGCTTTTACTGCCTTTCTTAAATCTTCCCACCAGGATCTTAGGTTGGCTAGAGGGCAGTTGAAGAGAGGTGAGATCCCTGCGCAGGGTGTAGAAGTGTCTGTGAGCTTCCCAGAACTTTGGCTGTGTGGTAGAGCCATCTAGGGGTGTCCGTGACCTGGATGATGCGTGGGCTGTAGTGCCAGCTCATCCTTTCATGTATTGAAGCTGCGGTTTTTCCTTGTTGCTTTGTGTGTGTGTATGTGTATCTATGTAATCAAGTCTTCCCAATTAAAACATGTGGATTTACCAGATTAGTGCTACATTTGGGAAGATAAATGGATGTTCAGTAATTGACATAGATTTTAAAGCTTTTACAAAATTTTTGCAGACTTAAGGAATTAGAAAAAAAATAATAGATTTATTTTCCTAAATAGTTTTCTTCCTCTTCTAAGGGTAATTAAGCATGCTGGCTAAAGGAGAAAGCAATAAAGAGCAGCTTTATCACTTAATGGAGCAGTACTTGCCCAGGTAATGAAGGGCTCCTTTGCTCTTTACCCACATTCTTTTTACTCAGCATAGCCATTGTCCCTAAGAGTCTGTCCTTCATTATGAAACATAATGGGTCCACACATAACCAAACCGGTACCTATCTTCCCAAGATTGTTGGGAAAATTAAATGTGGAATTGGATGACATATAATAGGTATTCAATAAATGTTAGCACTTGTTTTTCATTTTGCCATATTTGTAATTCATACCATTGTGTTCCAGTTGTTCAAACCAAAAAGCTAGAATTCACTTTCAACTCCTCATTTTCTCACTCTGCAACAACCAATCCATAAAAAAAGCTACTATCACTGGAAACGTTACCTTGAATTTCTCCATTTCATCTCCACTGCTGCCACTGTAGTCCAAGCCAAGCTGCCACCATCTCTCACTTAATACCTTCAAAGAAACTCCTTAAATTGTGTAACACCTTTTTTGCCCTTCTATGACCCATCTCCAGTTACTAGCACCAGAATAATCTTTAAAAACGTAAATTGATCATGTTGCTCACCTGCTTAAAATCCTGTATTGGCTTTCTATAAAATTCAGACTCCATTTCTTGGCCCTGTCTACTTCTACCACCTCAGCTACGTTTTCCTCCTTGTTTGTGTATTCTTCAGGCACATGGGCCTCCCTTTTCACACAGGTCCTCAAATTCATCCTACGTTGAGGCCTTGGTGTTTCCCTCTGCTTCTGCCCCAGATTTTTAACAGTGTTGACTCTCATATTGTTTGGATCTTAGATCCTCCCACAGACCTGTCTTGATTACCTAAGTGGAAGTCCCTCCTCAGTCATACTTTTAACCTTCTGCTTTATTGTCATCTTAACATTCACCCTTGCTTGATAGTTTCTTATTTACTTGTCATCTTTTACCCACATCCTTCACTAGATTGTGAAAACCATGCAAAGGAGGGATCTTGGCCAGCTGTGGTGGCTCATGCCTGTAATCTTAGCACTCTGGGAGTCCGAGGCAGGAGGATTGCTTGAGGTCAGGAGCTCAACACCAGCCTGAGCAAGAGCGAGACTTGTACCCCCATAATACATTGAAAGAAAAAATAAAAAAATAAAAAAAATTAGCTAGCTGTGGCGGCATATGCCTGTAGTCCCAAGCTACTCAGGAGACTGAGGCAGGAGGATCACTTGAACTCAGGAGTTTGAGGTTGCTGTGAGCTAGGCTGATGCCACAGCACTATAGCCCAGGCAACAAAGCAAGACTCTGTCTCCAAAAATAAAAAAAAATAAAAAAAAAAAAAGAGAGAGAGAGAAAGAGTAGGGATCTTATCTATTGTTGTTCCCCAGTACCTAAGTACCTAGTAGAATAGTGCCTGCTACATATTAGGTGTTCCATAAATATTAGTTGGTTATGTACAGCAGTGAACAGGATAGGCATATCACCTGTCATCAGAATTTATGGTTTAGAGCAGAATCAGCAAACTTCCTTAAAGGAATTGATAGTAAGTATTCAAGGTTTGGAGACCACTGGTCTCTGTTGCAGCTAGTCAGGTCTGCCTTGGTAGCACTAAAGCAGCCATGGATAATATGTAAATGAACAGGGATAGCTGTGTTGCAATAAAACTTATGTAAAAAACAAGTGATAAGTCCCTGTTGTATAGTTTCCTGATCCCTGGTCTAGAGTAGTGCTGTTGACTGGAAATTTGTGCACTGATGGAACTCTTCTCTATCTACAGTGTCCAATTCAGTAGCCACTAGCTACATGTGGCTGGTACAACTGAGAAACTGAGAAACTAAAATTTTTTTTTTTTTTTTTGAGACAGGATCTCACTCTGTTGTCCAGCATGTTCCACCACTCCTGGCTAATTTTTCTTTTTTTTCTTTTTTTGTACAGATGAGATCTTGCTGTCTTGCTCAGGCTGGTCTCGAACTCCTGGCATCAAATGATCCTCCTTCCTGGGCCTACCAAAGTGCTGGGATTACATATATGTGAGCCACTGCACCTGGACCCTTAAAATTTTTAGCAGCTTCATTAAGGAATAATTGACATATAATAAACTGCACATATTTAAAGTTTATAAATCTACAAGTTTTGACATACACACACACATACTTGTGAAACCATCTCTGCAATCAAGGTAATGAACATATTCATCATCTCTCAAAATGTCTTTATGTCTGTTTCTAATCCATTCATTCCTTCTCCATTCCCAGGCAACCACTGGTCTGTTTTCTGTCACTATAGGTTAATTTGCATCTCAAGAATTTTAACCCTATGGATATATACAAATGAAAAATAAATGGGGAAAAAAAGAATTTTATATAAATGTAATCATACTTTATATTCTTTTATTGTCTGACTTGTTTCATTCAATAAAATTATTTTGAGATACATCCATGTTTTTGTATGTATCAGCAGTTCATTGCTGAGTAGTAGTCCATCATATGGCTAGACTGCAGTTTGTTCATCCATTCACCTATTAATGAGCATTTGGATTATTTTCAGTTTTAGGCTATTACAAATTAAGCTGCCATGAACATTCATGTAGAAGTCTTTGCATGGACTTATGCTTTAATTTCTTTTGGGTATATCCTTAAGTATGGAATGGCTGGGTCATACTTTAGGTATATATTTAACTTTTTAAGAAACTGTCCAATTCTTTTTTCTAAAGTGATTTTATAGTCTTCCTGAAAGTATGTAAGAGTCTGATTGTTCCCATTTTCACCATCACTACTTATTATATGCATTTTTAATTATAGTTATTCTAGAGGGAATATAATTTATGGAAATCCAGTTATAGAAACCAGGCAGCGGACCAGCCTCATTGATTTTTTTTTTTTTTTTTTGATTAGGAGCTGGATCCTTGTACTCTCTCTGAAATATATTTAGCCTTTTTCTCACTTCCTTAAGCACTTATATTTTTGGGGCCACACATCTTTTAAGAGAAATAAATGTTTTATTAACAGGTATAACATATAAAAGAATAAATGTAAATTATGATCAATAGTGTTCTACTTAAGTCTTGTGATTTACTCTTCACACAAGAAAACAAGATTTGTCTTTGGATAATTATTTGACAATGATTATTTCTTCACCTGATTTAAAATTATATATTTATAGCTGTGTTTCTTTTTTTTTTCCTACACTCTTTAACAGTAAAGAAGTTACTTCTAACTGTAACAGTAAAGAAGTCAGATACAGCAGAAGTTATCAACATGTTATTTTCAGTGCTAGGAGTAACTGTAAATTACTCTGCCAGATAACTATAATTAGAAACACATTTTGATACTTTAAATTTATGTAAATACCCATTTAATCATAAGACAGCTGATTATTAGAGATACAAGTCATATTTTATTCCCTAAAAATGTAGAAATTAAGGACAATGAACCTTTAATGCTAGCTTAATACCTGGGTGCCGTTCTTCTATTCTAAGTTTAAAACCTATGTGAACTGGAAAGCATAGATATGGAGATTGGACTATAACTTTGAGTGATAATGTATATTTTATTATGTATACTATAAAGGGACAATATCTGTATCCAATCTTGAGATGACGACAGTGTTAATGATGATAATAATGATGATGATTTCTACTAACAATTTTAAAATACTACCTGCCAGACATTGTACTGAACATATTATATGTATTGTCTCATGTAATCCTTTCATTTATCTATGAAGTCACTACTATGTATTTAGAGTATTTCAAGTGATCTAAGTAATATAAAACCAAACTTTTCTACAAAATATGTATTCTCAGACTTAGAATATAGAAAGTGTTCATGCACAGAACTGAGGACAAAATCGATAGCATTTCAGGTTTGTTTTTAATGTTGTCCTTTTTAAAGCCAGTGAACAAGGTTGTCATTAAAAATGAAATATTTAAAATAATTTTACAAATAAAATAACCTAATTAAGACTAGGTAGATGGTAATTTTTAGGCTTAAAACAGCTCCAAGCTTCATTTTACCTCCAATGGGACACGATTGTTCATGGTTTAGCGCAGTTCTTAATTGAATATTTTATTTTTTTTTTTTTTGAGACAGTCTCGCTTTGTTGTCCAGGCTAGAGTGAGTGCCGTGGCATCAGCCTAGCTCACAGCAACCTCAAACTCCTGGGCTCAAGCGATCCTCCTGCCTCAGCCTCCCGAGTAGCTGGGACTACAGGCATGCGCCACCACGCCCGGCTGAATATTTTAACTTTAATGTGTCTTGCAAACCTTAGTTGTAGATTACCAGCTGGCTATCTGATAAATTGATTTGGTTTTATTGATATTATATTAATAGAAGCCTTATTTTGACCTAATCCCTGGAAGTTGCTGTAATAATTCATATTAATGGAACATTGACATTGTATTCCTATGCCAGCTGGAAAGGAAGAGTGAGAGTTGACTTAATTACATTTAGTAATAAGTCAGGAATAGAAGGGAACTTACTCTCTATACTTAAAAAATCTATAGCACAATGGTATTTGAGGATTATAGTAAGAGGATACAATTAGGGTACTAAAGAGCAAAATCTTTTTGCAGTCAGGTGTCCAGAGTTTAGTTTTTCTAGTTTGTAAATTTCTTTTTGTATCTGTTTCTGTGTTTCTAATCCCCTGCTTCCTTCTGATTATTGCCTGTGAACACCAATCTCAGAGGGCAGCAGTAGAAGGGAAGCATAAATCAAACCAGTCCCAATGCTCTTGAGTGTAACTCTATGTAACTTATAAAAAGTAATGAACTGTCTTTTTCAGACAGACACCATGTGGTAGTTAATAGTAATGATAGTGATGTTTGACATATATAATTCTTTGTTCCTACTATTTAAATAATGTTAGCCACTAATGTTTACTTATTTGATCCTTTTAATACTTATGTGATAGATAAATATTTTAATTCATAGATTTGAGGCTGAGTGATGACATAGATTTGCTGAAGATTTATAGATCTAGTCAGAGGAGAATGTCAAAGGAGAAACGAGAATACTTTTAAATATTCTTAGATGCAAATATAGGAAGGGTTAATATTATGCAGCTTACAAACAGAACAAACTGATCTGTGTATTCATTTCAAACAAGATAGTCTTTAAGGTTTTTCTTTTCTTTTTTTCTTCCCCAACCCCTCTTAAAACTACTTTGGTAGGACCACCTGTGTTATACAGGGGTCTTCAGCTGTAAGCATGTGCATGATCATTCAGTCAGCAAAAGGATTCTTTATACCCAAAATCCCAGGAGTAAATTGTAGTATATCCTGTTTTTTTTACTATTTTTTATTTTAGCGTATTATGGGGGTACAAGTGTTAAGGTTACATATATTGCCCATACCCCCCCCTCAATAAGAGCTTCAAGCGTGTCCATCCCCCAAATGTTGCACATCTCACTCAGTATATTCTGTTTGTAACACACATGGTCACAGTATCAGTCAGTCTGAAGTCTACATTTATGATTTTTCTGTATAGGGCATGAATCCCTGTGGAATTATAATGAGCCATCTTTAAGACACTGCACCGTTGACACTAGGATCAAAGGACCCTACCATCCCTTTCAACTTATAAGAGCTGCACAAAGAGATGCAGTGCCAGTTCATCCTGAAGCCCAGCCGCCTTGCAGCCCAGCAACTGAGTGGTGAGTTGCTGCTTCTTCATAGAGTCTTCTTTCAGCAAAAGTTATCATTTCTGAACACAAATTTAATACACAGGCAAAGACCCAAACTTCCAGCCAGAATGAGGTACATTTTTCTTTGGAATTTGTTAAGTGTTTTGAAAGAAAAGATGGAGTTTTAGAAGAAAGTTCTGTAAATCAGCAATAGGCATGACTGACTTATAACCAGCAGCTAATAGCAATACAATCTATCCCTTCTTTCTTCACCATTCTGTTCCCTTTAACCTTATGCCTACTGCAGATTCAAAGGCACCAGGCAATTCTGCAGGTGCTTCAGTGCCTTCTTTGTACTACAATACACACCAACTGTGTGTTCCCCCCTAAATGGTCACCTTATGAAAGGAGGCTGTCAATGATGGGTGTCAGAAAACTGTGATGCCCTACCTAGATCCTGGTACCAATAAGTATATGAAGACTAAGAAAGTTTCTAGAGAAGTCTCTCCTTAGCCTACTAATCTAATATGAATTTTCTATGAACATATCTGTCTTTTACTCACCCCATAATAAAGACTCTAGAATGCTAAAAGTGGTGTTCAATGTAAGAGCATCATGATTTACCCTAACTTAAATTTGAGATTTAAGCTTTCAGTCTGAAAGTAAGATTGTATAAGAAATAGAAGAAAGCAGATACTGAAAAGTATGGGTAGGATAGTAGAAAATTGATGCTGAATTTTTGCACCTGCATTTTTCAGTTTGAAACAAGTAGGCTATCCAGTGAACAGTGGCATTGCCCTTTCCACATTAGCAAACTCGGGTCCAAGAAGTAATAAATTTAAAGGGATGGCATGGACCTTGAGAGTTCACTGAGAGCTACCTTCCTGCCACATGACAGATTGTTGGCATCACCTGGATGCCTGTGAAATTCTGAAAATCTTCATCTCTGTGTTATCAAATTGATGTAGCATTGATGAAAAAGTTACACACATAGTTTTTAAACCCATTGAAGAATAACCTTTAAGAAAAATGTATATAGCTATCCAAACTTAGAGAAAACAGACAAATTAAATCAGCACTCATTGTAAAGGTTTTTCTTGCTTTAAGTGTTTTAACACACCATAAGCCTTTGAAACAGAACCTCCTCTAATGCTTTTTAAATTATTTAATTTATAATTTTATTTTCATACTAAGCAGTCAAGCATATAACGGTCAGTAAAGCTAAAACCTCAACATAGGCCTCTGTTTTTAAATCTCTGCTCTTGTCACTTGACCTAACTGCCCTATCACGTGGGCATGTCTCCTTGTCAGCATCCCTACTGCTTCTGTTCTGCTCTTGATGTTCTAATTTGAAGGCAATATACCATTATGGAGATTGTTTTCAGTATCCCCATAGCCTTATTGTGATGTAAAAAACATGACCATATGATTATAAACATGTAATGTACATGTAAAGTCCATACTTTTGTCACCTTTCCCACCCTCTGTGCTCCAACTCATTCCTAACATAAATCAAAATTAAAAAGTAGACTCCTTATGAGGAAATCAGTATAAGAATAAGAGTTTCTTCACTCTTTTCCCCTATCCTTGTTCAACTATTAGCCTGGCTTCTTAAAGGGAAAAATGAGTTAATACTTATTTTTTAGCATATATTATAAATATATAGAATTTGGCCTTATTTACCAAATGCCTCTTGTGATAGTCATAGTCTGTCATACTCTGTTTGTGGCCTATTTGAAATCCAGGGCTGGGTACATTGGCTCACACCTGTAATCCCAATAATTTGGGAGGCTGAAATGGGAGGATCACTTGAGGCCAGGAGTTCAAGACCAGCCAGCCTCCTGTATCTACAAAAAATTTTAACAAAAACAAAATAGAATCTACAGCATTCATAAGTTCTTAAATTGCTGAATCCTAAGAGGTGGATATTTTGCATGGTTTTCGATGTAGAAAATCATATCTGGTTTCTAGGGTTAACGGGCATAAAAGAGGGAGATAATTTCTATTAGAGTATTGGCTGAGAATAATAGATAATTTCTATTAGAGTATTGGCTAAGAACAATTAATATTTTATGTTTAAACCAGCTGAATAAAATAAGCCACAATTACACATTCAAAACTCCATATCTCCATTTCTTTTTTTTTCCTCCTTTTATTTCATCATATTATGGGGGTCAAATACTGTTAGGGTTACATATATTGCCCTTGCCACCCCTCCCCACTCCCGCTGTGCCAGAGCTTCAAGCGTGTCCAACCCCCAGGTATATCTCCATTTCTTAGAGAGGCTTTGTCTAATTAGCTTAAGGAAAATATCCCTGTTAACCGTCATAACCATAGGTAAGCAGAGTCATCCCCAGTTTGTTTTTCAAATTTCTGCCTTATTGTGGAGAAGACATCCTACTAAATATTCTTACACTGAAAACAGTATAGCAATAGGCCACCATGAGACTTAGATCACCGAAACTTATCCTTGGGGTGATTGGTCCCCATGAGACAGTTCTCGTGTTAATGGGGAATTTAAGACATATGTTTTGAAAGATGGAATCTCAAAGCCCAACTCACATGTTACTTCTGGGAAATCTTTGTTCCTTTGTTCAGGCAGGTAGTCAGAGTACTTTACACATATCTTCAGTGTAACACATTAAAAATTATGTTATGATTATTTGTTTATATGTTTACATGTATCTTTAGACTATGAGCTTCGTAAGACCTGGGAACACATCCCAGGGCTTAATCCAGTGTATAGAACAGAACAGAAGTTAAATGAAAGATTGAATGACTTAGTCATCCCTAATATGGAAAAACTTGAGTGAAGTAGAAGAGTTCTAAAATGGGATCTAAAGAGTTCTAAGTGGGATCTTTCTGAGCGTGGTCTGAAGTAGCTTTTGGAGTTCCAGCCTAAACTGAACTTTTATGGTAGATGGTAAAGTATGGGACACATCTTTTTCTTCTACCTGTTGCTCTGTCATTCCTGCATTCTCCCCTGTGTGTTTCCTACTCTTACTAGGGGGGAGGTATTGTTATTTGGGGAGTTATGTGGCCAGAATAGAATTTCTATTAAAGTTTTTTATTGTTATAATTATTGTTATATAAGCAAAAAGTTTTAAGAATTATAATTTTCAATATTTAGTTCCCTAATTTAATCATGAATAAACATTAGCCTGAATCTTACTGGGATTATTTAGGAAATCTAGATTTACATTAATTTAGTTTTCTTTACATTTAGATAACTCATTTTTTTATAATAATAGCACGTTTTCTTATCAGCTTTTGACATTTAGGAAGTAAGAGCTATGCATCGAAAGCTATGCAAGAAAGTAAACTTTGAAAACTAATATCACTTAAATACATAATCAATATAAAACATGGAGATATTTTTTAAAAAATAAAAGAAAAAGAAAGTAAACTTTAATGAAAAAATTTTCTCAGTCCCAAAGGAAACCTGATCTCTCAGATTGAATGCTGTATATAAACAAAAGGCATGGCTACAGCTGAAAATATTTATGATAAAGTAAAGAATTCAATTTCTACTCTGTCCTCTGTCCACACTCTTAGGATAGCTGGTATATAACTTGTTGACAAAGCATTCTTCTTCAGAAGTGTGTGAAATCTAAAAAAATCAAATGAATCCGATATTTTTAGAAATAATGAAATTAGCTTAAATGTTAGCAAACCACAGTACAGCTATGTAACATATTAATATCTATTCATGTACATATTATACAAACATTTGCACAGACTGACATTACTAGACATACAGGAACCCTTTCTTGGACTTAAGAAAGGGTTTAGTTTTCTGTTACATAAAGTGGTAGAGGTTAAAATGTCAGGGCAGAACGAAAGTGCTTTAGCTAAGCAGAGGATTGATATTCCTTCATGTCTGCAAAACCTCCTGAAGACTGTGAAACCAAATGGAGAGTGGATGCAGAGAGGAGGTCCTCTTTGTAAGAGATTAGTATCTTGGCAGCTTTAATCAACATTGCTGTGACCCATGCCCTGGGCAAAGTAGTACTTTTCAGACATTATGCTACATAATCCCCTTTAATAAGCCTCTGAAGGATAGGTAATGTTTTTTTTATTTTAAAGTTGAGGAAAGAGGGTAAGTGACCTTGCCCAAATAAGTGTCTGAACCAAGACCTAATTTCAGAGCCATAGGGCTTTACGCACCCAAGTGTGTGGACATGATGATATTCTTACTGTATCCCATGGAAGTGAAGTATAGATGATGGTCTTAAGGCCATTTGGTAAAATGTTCTTATTTGCTTATCCTCCCAAAACTTGGCCACCATGCCCAGCCATAGCACCACACTTCTTAAAATTTTTGCTATAAATTGTTCGGGCTATTGCAAAGAGCATGGTTTTAGAAGAGTTAAATTGTGTTTCAAGTTACAGAAGTTATTATTTGTCTACAAACAAAACATCAAAAATGATCCAAATGAGTCAATAGTTTGGTTGAATGTTTCCCACGTAATGGATGTTTTTGAACTAGCCATTTATGGGAAGGGGAAAAGAGTAGTTAGAATGGTTTACTGCCAGACCCTGTCATGTTGTACTAGTTTGCTAAAATGTGTGCAAACAGGAGGTTCCACCCAAATAGGTTGTCCTGTAATTTTCCCACCATAATCCAGACTTCAGTTATTGCAATGGCTTTTCTTAGCTAATAATGTAGGCCTAGTCTGTAGTTTATGATCTTAATTTTGGTAACTATTTAACTGACCAGACAAATCCTTATATAATTCCTTGAGCAACTGAAGTCATACAGAGAAAATGACCTATTCTCTCTTTTTTTTCTTAAGAAAAAAAAATCAAAGCATGTGTTTCTTTGTCCATAAGTCAGTGGAGAATTGTCACAGAGCTCTGTGTATTAATAGTTTACTGAAGGGAGGAATTAATTCAACTTTTCAACAAAATGCTTCCTTTTTGACTCCTCTAATACATATTTGGCATGAAAATAATTTAAAATATTTGTTTTTTCATCTTTGTAAGGATTTTCTGCAAAATATTCCAGGAAGAATTTTTTTCATCAGATCTCTATGATCACTGGATCTGTGTAATGGATCAAGGAAATGATGATGAGAAAATAAATACAATTCAAAGGTATTATTCTAATTTGTTCATGTCTCTAAAATCCTTTTTAAAAACATATTTCATAAGCTTGTTTATTAAAAATCAAAGTCATAAGGTTTAAAGTTTAAAAATAGATTTATGCTAGCTTATCATTGTTATTTTTTTCTCCCTAATTCTGTTAACATGGAATACTTGAACATTGTACACCTTCTGTCTATCTGAATTGAAAGGAGCTGTAATTCATTAGTTTACTAGCTAATACTGTAGACCCAGTCTATAGTTTATGATCTTGATTTTGGTAAGTATTTAACTAACCAGACAACTCCTTATATAATTCATTGTGCAACTGAAGTCATACAGAGAAAATGACCTATTCCCTCTTCTCAAGGAATTCAATTTGGTAAAGATAGATAACCCGAGAATTACAACAATAATGCAGTATAATCAGTGATATACAAGAGCTATTTGGAGAGTACTGTGAGAGCACAGCAAAGAATTGGTTAGCTCCTTGAGAATTGTCAAGGAAAAAGGGAGTCGTACAGGCTTAGACTGAGCACAAAGAAAGCACTGTTTCTACTCATGGAAAAGCACCCACTACCCCCATTCCTGGATATTTCCTGCATTATAACAGAATAGGAAAGAAATGTCCATTAACACAAGGCAATTACTTCCAGTTCTGTGAAAAATCAAGAATCCCAGTATCATTTATTTGTATATGCTTGTTTACTACAGTTTTTTCTCTTGAGCAATTTTTAAATATGAATGATCCACATACTACTATTGATAGACATCTTTTATAGGTGGAACAGAGTACGGCTGTTGAAGATAACAGAAGCTAAAGCCATTTAACAAATACTACCTCCACTTCGTGATAGTTTGGTGTAAACCATTCAGATAGCATCAAATTCTATATTTGATTGCTCATTGTCCAAAACATTTTATATGTGTGTGTGTGTGTATATACATATATATATATATATATATATATATATACATATCCTATAAGCTGTTGAAGGGTGATTTTAAAAAAGGATAATATTATGACTCTCATGCAAATATAAAATAAACAAATGTGAGAGATTTTATTTAGATTATTAATAAGGGAACCAGTAAGATGTTACAACCATCTTTGTAGATCTCAAAGTATCACAACTTATGTAGTTGAATCAGAATTACTGAAATGAATTTACAAAAAGATGCAAAATTGGCCTTTTCTACCAGAGCAGGAGTACAGATAAACCAGCTGTCTCTCCACCAGACAGAATTTTCAAGTTTGTAGCCAAGTATTAGGTACACTACTGTCAGTTATCTACAATTTACAGAGTTGTAACATAGCTCTTGTTGTGTAAAGGCTTAGGACTCCATAGTATCCCAGAAGCAAATGCTAGATGCCTTATTGTCCATTGAATACTCTCAATAATCTTTTGGTCTATTTCAAAGTTCTTCATAACTTATCCTTATAAAAACAATACTCATTGTCCATTACACTGAGGAAAGGCTTTTCTGCTATTTGGGCAACAGGAATTAGATTACTTTTTTTCCCCAAGGTTGCACATTTTTATTGAAAAAAAGCAACAATCATGAATATCAGCTTATATATGTCTAGTGAATAGTAGTAAAAATCATTTTTGGTGAATAATCATTTAAAAATCAATTACCAAATGGGAATGTAGAAAATATACTACACTACTATAAGCTTGACTTATATGTGGAAGTGATACCAATGAGATAAGATTTGGGGCAAAATCAACCTTAAAAGCTGGTAGAATAGAGCATAAACTCTCAGAATGGATGTGGAAGTCTTTATAGCTGAGATTTGGGTTCTTACCAAGAGATAGCATTCCTGTGTTGCTACTTGGAAATAAAAGCACACTTTAAATTTAATTGCTATTTAATTTTCTCAGAAAGATTTTTGTAGGTTTGGGTTGAGAATATTCATTTGAAATGTTACAGGATTTGCATAAGTTTAAATACATTGTACTAGTCTCAGGGAAATATTTCAGACAGCTTGTTTTTAGTGAGACATTTTTCTGCATTCTTTTATATTTTCATTGGGTTGTGAAGACAGTATTAAAAAATACAAAAAAAAAAAATGCCCAGTGCTTATTTTCTCTTTCAGTACAATGCAGTCCTCACTTTGCTGGGTGCCATGTTAACAGAACCTTGCATATTTGACCTGGGTTCTTGATTTGCCCTCTTCCTCATGCAAAGTTAGGGTGGCCTCTCTTTACAAGTTTATGAAAAAAGGTATTGCTTAAAGACTGCATTTTACTGCCTTTAGCCCATTAGACCAGCTTCTGAGAGCCAATGTTATTCTTCTAAGGTATCTTTTTGGGATATTACACAACATTGACCAACATTCCTCATCCAATCACATGAATGCATTTAATTTAGTGGTGCGTATCCCTCCAAGCATTATTTGGCTTCCTACTTCCTGAAGCCCAAAACTAGAAAATGAATTTATAAAAAAGATAATGAAGTTTTTCATTTTATGCCCTGGGTGACTGAACCTCCCTTTTGAAACTGAAATGTGTGGTATTAATCCTGAAAGATGATTTCTTAAATAACTTAAGTACACTTCCTTATAAATTTGAGATTGCTAACTATGGGGTGTTTTAGTTTATCCTGGTAGACTATAGGCAAGTGATTTGTCAAGCAGCAAAATGATAGCAATTGATTTACTTCTCTTTTCCCTTTAAGGAGGCTAAACACTATCACTGACTTAAACCATGATAAGAAAACAACTGATGTGATTCTTAAAATTAAAAAATAAAACCAAAACACAAGACACTGGAGTAAGGCAAGCCAAGGTTCAATTCTCAACCCCACCATTTTCCAGATGTATAATCTTGGGCAAAGTCAGTTACACTGACCCTCCGTGTCCTCATCTAAAAAAATGAAAGTGGTGATAATATAGTAGTTACTTAAAAATTACACTCCTGTAATTTTTGTGCCTGGAAGTTAATAAAGTGTTTGGCAATATCAGTTTTATTTGCTCTCAACATTTCTCCTGTCCCTTGGCCTCAGCTACTGGGACAAGAATACTACAGAGAGGTTCCTTTACATCCCATGGAGGCCCAGAGTTCCCTAATAAACTCTTATCTCTTCCCCAAGCACTCCCAGTTAGGATGCCCAGTGGAAAGCAGTGCATATGTAAACTAGTCAGTCAAATGCATGGGCTAAAGGCTGGTCAGGAAAAACACAACTTTTCTTTCTAGCTGTCTTTCTCCTTCATGATGTATTTGTAGCAAATCCCTCTTCCCAAGCTTATGACATCCTGTCCTTTACATAAGAAATACTTTTCAGAAGTCCTTCTCTAATGATGCTTTATAAATTTTAATAATAAAGTATATTTCTTCACCTCAATCACCCAATTGAGAATATTTGAAATTACTCTAATTTTAAACATAGAGAGCCATTGGTGTAAAATGTTAACATTAAGCCAAGGCCACAAATAATAACATCAATCCACTAATTAAAATTAATTTCTATTCCCAATGCCCATACTACTCTTAAAAGTATCATAGTTTTTTAGGGGAAACTATTTTATATACTTTTAAAGCAGATATGATTTCTTCTCAGAGCACATTTCCTTTTTTTGTTAAAATCAGAATTCATATATGAAATGTGATTTATGAACATGTTATATGAAAAATAGTACTTCATTTTTGTCTTTTTTTATATAAATGACCCTGCTTTTACAATTTCTGATTGAAAATTGCCATAGGATATTTGGAGAAGAAATCACTTCCCTCTTCGGAAAGGTTTCAGGGAGATGTGACACTAGAGGAAACGCCTCAGGTATTGCGAATAATTGGATTCATTTTTGTGAAAAATAGACACATGTCTGTGAAGATGCTGGAGCAGTGGTTTTCCTGGAGCCCCTGGCAGCTTAGGTGAAGGGAACCTGGGTCAGTTGGGCCCAGAGCTTCTCATCCTTTCTTAGAAGGCCTGCTAATAGGTCAGGGAATGTTAACAGTTTGGTAGGGTTAAGAAATGTATAAGATGAGGTCCCAGCTTTCAAGAAGTTATTGGTGGCAGCATGCTATGGTATGGTGGTTTGAAACTTTTTTAAAATAAAACTTTATGAGGAACCCTAATATATATGATAGAATTTGCTATGGTAATAAAAAGCCCAGAGGTAGTAGAAGCAGGCCTGTTTATTTTTTCTTCCTCTCCTTCCTCTTACTGGTCCCTGAAATACTTCTCAGAATTACAATGTGGTATGAGATGGTTTAAAACAACTAGCATAATTTGGGGGATGGGGGACACTGAATTCAAAGACAAAAAACCTTCCAGAATAGAAATTCCTATACCAACAGTTACTATTACTAGTTATGTTGCCTTTGGCCAATTATTCCATGCCACTGAATCTCGGTATCTTCATCTATAAAATGTGGATAAAAAATAATGTCTTTGTGATTGTTGTAAATATTAAATAAGATAATGGTTATTAAAGAACTTTATAAAAGAGAAAAATGATGGGGCTAGTAATGGATTCCCCAAGACTAGAGTTCATTATGTATAACAACTGGCAATCCATGTTAGAAGGCAGTCTTATTCAGAATCTAGGTTGTAAACTAAAATAAAATTTTAGGGCTCACCCCGCCCAGCCGGCTGACTAAATGGACCCCCTGGTGGCCAAAGGAATATCCTAAAACTAAATTGTCTGCCAGGAGGAAGGAGGTCAGATAGGACTTATCATGCCCCCCTCCCTTCTTGGAGACATCCTTTGTAACCCATTAACAGGCCTAAGGGTATGCAAGACAAACCTCCAGGTCTTCAATTTACACAACAAATCTATGTCCAGTGGCTTATCTCTGATAACAGCTCCTTATGTTGAAACATTCCAAGCCTTTAGACAAAGCTTCATGTCTTTAACCAATTACAAGCCAAAGAATCTTTAAACCCACCTATAACCTATAAGTCCCCACTTCAAGATGGCCCACCTTTTCGGGCCAAACCAATGTATGCCTCCCACATATTGATTTATGACTTTACCTGTAACTCCTGTCTCCCTGAAATGTATAAAATCAAACTGTAACCCAGCCACAGCGAGTCCACTTGCTCAAGGCTTCTTGAGAGTGGCTCCAGATCATGGTCCTCAAATTTGGCTCAGAATAAACTTCTTTCAGATATTTCAGAGTTTGGATTTTTTCCATCTACAAGGTATATCTGGCATTAATTCCTTCATATTTTTCGCCATTACTTGGTCTTATGACATGTTCATTGCTGTATGAAAATCTTACTTAAGGAAACTAATTATTCAGGTCCCATTAATCAGGACCTGAGATAAATCTAGTATACCTTAACAGGTGTCTCTTCTTTTATTCTGTACTAACGTTTGAGAAGATTATAAATGATTTTTTCTTTCTTGAGAGGAGGAATTTGAATACTCTACATGAAAAGAGAATTAAACTAAGCACCATAGTTTGTTTTTAAGGCAACATGGGCTATATTTGTGCTAAGTAAAAATGTTAATTATGGTTTGATTTTTTGACAGATATTTCTTGCTTCCCACCAAGTGACTCATCCTCCTATGACAGCTTGGAAAATGAGGTTGAACTAAATGAGGTTGATGATCCATGCAGTGAACATGATAGAGAAACTCTGCCAGGGGAGCAAAAGCATGGACTCTCATTTTAACGTTTAATGATCAACCTGAAGTGGAAGACCTCCTAGCCCTGAGTGACTTTAACTCAGACCGTTCTAAAAAAGAACATGCTCAAATGGAACAGCCTCTTGAATCCAAGCCGGTGAATGCTAGAGTGTGCATGAATATCCTGCCTCAGGATCCTGCTGAGGCCCCGTCTGACACACCCAGCCACCTGCCACAGATGCAGGAGATGTTGGAAAAAGCACGAGGCAAAAACGGCATTGCTCAGATCCCAGCGTCTACTATCTGGATCCCCAGCTTTCCTACCTCAGGGAGTTTTAACAGAAAAAAGATATGCAAGTCTAGCCGTGATGCAGTTCTCTATCAAAAAGATGAGGGACTATCTGAAGCAGAATCAACCCCTCTAGGAAGTGGGTAAGACCTGTTTTAAACAGAATTTATTCACAAGCACTGTTACCAGCAAGAAAAATTCTACTAATCAGAACATTAGGAAGAAAAGATTGTCTGGTAATGAAGGAAAGTATATGAAACTTTTCCATAAGTCCAAGGCATTGGCCATTTCAGTGTCCTCACAAGATCATTCCAAGAACCACTGTTTGATGTGGATACAATCTGGATACTCCCACCACACACAGGAGATGCTCTCAAGAGTTCAAGGAAACACTGGCACTGCTCAGAGCCCAACACAGATGACTAGGAAGGCAAGCTGTCCCTCCTCTGGGGGATTTGTTCAAAGCAGCAGCATAAAAGCAGGTGGGAATCTGTTCTCTTGCATGAAGAGGAGGATTATCTCAAATGGTATAAGTGTTTGTAAATAGAGGGACAGAAGGATATCAGTCAGAGTTTGGTCCTAGGGATTGAGGTGGGTAAGAGTAGTGCCACAAACCAAAACACCAGGAAGGTTTTACCCCCAGGATTAAAGCTTGGCCCAAGGGCTAGCTATTCCAGCTTATCCTCTTCAGACACTTCTCCATCAGCCACAACTGTGAGCTCCTAGGACAGTGCTTTTTCTCAGATTTCTGAAGACTCCCTGTTTACACCCATTGAACTTCCTGTCCAATAGATTGTAGTTTTCAGGCTCAAAGAAAACAGCAAAAACTTTCTTCTGACTCTAGCAGTTCCGGCCTTATTTCTAGATTGCCTTTTTCTTCATCAGGGAAGGCCAGCAGTTCCCTGGCTTATACAACAAAAGGACACCAAAGAACGACATTCACAAACACATTCTGTAGCCGGGAGTTAGCTATGCTCCCAGCAAAAAAATCAGGTCCCTTAGGCAGGGGTTGTCGCAAAAGATAAGGAAATAATAGAAAATAATACAATAGAGAAATAAAAGAATACACAGAGATAAAAGTACAGTCTTATAAGGTATAGATTTATAATAGTTGGGGTGTTGGGAGACCCCACAGCATTCCCATGAGCTGTGAGGCCACAAGTGAAGTTTCACATCAGTATTTATGGGTACAGTGATCAGTTGCCAGGGGTAACAGATTTAAGTAATAACAGGCAGTTCATTTTAGGTTAAAAGTCTCCCAAAAGGCTTCTGTAGATCCCTTAATTAACTCTACTATCTACGTGAGCAAATGGTTACAAAATCTTTCAAAGACAAAATTCTAAGTTCTAAGATAAAGCTATCACTTAGCAGAGTTAAATAGAGATATAGTGGCTCCATATTTCTTTATCTAGTTATTGTGGATGGAGACAGGTAGTCAGGAGTCAAGCAGGAACTGTCCCTTGGGCTAATTGATTTTAGCCACAGGTGTCTGTCAGGTGGGCACTCTTTGATCAGCTCTCATCCCCTGGCTCCATGCAAACCTGCTTTGTCTTACAAAGTAGGTGAAAACCACAGGTTTGAGACTGCAGTGTCACCTTGGAAAGCAGCTGCCACTGACCTTTGAGATCCCCTCCTGAGGTGAGGCAGCTTTTGATATGCAAACTAACATATTCAATATTCCTTCAGGGCAAAGCTCTGCAAAACTCCTGAAGTCATTTCTGTCTCTATAGGGCAACAATTCTATAGAGCAAGATTAATCTATGGAGCAATATTTCTATGAAGCAACATTCTGTAACTCTGCATCCCACCACAGGGTTGAGAAATGATGTGGCCAGTTTGAAAAACTAGTTCTCAAAAAGAAAGCAAAGGCAGGTAAAGAAAATAGGTTCTCTAAAAGGACCCTTGGAGCCACCTCCAAATGCTTCTGGAGTTCTAGAAGACATCTCACTGTAAGAGAAACACAACGACATTCCCTTAGTGGTAGCTGAGGGACTGAGAGCTGTACAGTCAGCCCAGTGGTGTAGTTCTTCTCCCTGCCAGGACTCAGGCGGACGCTGTAGCTCTCGATTCATCCTGGTGGAAAGCAAACTCAAGCTGTGTATGAAGTCACATTAGGAAGTAGAGCATGGTGGCCAGGGCTCTTCCCTGCCTTGTGAAAGAGCCTCACCCAGCTCTTGGACTGTGGAGGCTTTGGCCAGCCCAGACTGAGGGCCTGCAGTGGTCTGTGATGTTGGGAACAAACATTTAAGCAAAGACATTTAACCACAATAAGAAACTGATGTCCACAAGAACAAGAATTGGGATAATAGCAACATATAAAGACAATAATTATTATGACCCTTTTGTATAAGTTACCTGGGAGAGGTAGCATAAGGATAATCATTGCTAATACTTAGGACAGCAAAATACTTCTTTTTATCAAGACTATTTTGCAAAAACTTTATGGTGAAAAGTTTTGTCATTTAAGTGTTTAAAGGCTTTTCGTTATTAAAGCATGGCATTGGTCCTGTAATGTGGTTCCAGAGATACGAGCAGAGGACTAGAGAAAGCATCTTCTGTACAGGAAGCATGCCTGTGTGAACAATCTGTGAGATTAGTGTCCTGAGAAGACCAGGAGTCACAAATGAGGAGTAAGGGACTGGGGGGAGAGGGGAAGTTATACAGAGAAACCATCCACATTTTAATAAGTAGGCAACAAAAGTACTACTATTTAAAGCATTAAGAAGAAAAGCACGTAAAACTTCACTAAATCTAAGGCAGTGGCCATTTCTGTGCCATTTTACAGTCACATTTCCTCACAGAATCATTCAAGGAACCAGCCTATTCATGCAGCCAGAGTAGAGAAAATAGTGATTCAAGAAGCCTGGGTAGCATGATGTCAGTTTTTTTCTTGGCTCCATTTGTTGATTTGTTTTTTCATTAGTGATGAAATGTTTTGCAGAGACTTCAGGAAGAAAAGCTATGAGGGTAAAGGAAATGGTTGCTCATGATATCCTCATCTTCTCAGAATTTGTAGGATTTTTCTTGCCTACTTACTAAAATTCCATAAAATGAGGATGGTTTCTCTGTACAACTTCCCTTTTCTCCCCAGTCCCTTACTCCTCACTTGTGACATCCTAGTCTTCTCAGGACACTAATCTCATAGACTGTTCACACAGGCACGCTTCCTCTACAGAAGATGCTTTCTCTAGCCCTCTGCTCATATCTCTGGAACCATATGGCAGGACCAATCCTGTGCTTTAATAAGGGAAAGCCTCCCAAAGACTTAGCTGACATAATTCTTTAGCATTGCATTTTTGCCAAATAGTCTGCCTTTTCAAAGTTGTCTGTTCTAGGAACATTATTCAGAAATGCAACTTTTCCTACTTAGAAGGTAACCTCCCGACACCATTCACTGTCTTAGTGTTGAGGAAAAGACAACAACTGTCCTTTCTCAGAGACACAAATACTGTTACAAGCATGTGATCAGAGCATGGCAGCTCTATGCCGAAATGTTTCCCTGCAGCCCTGTCTCTTAGATTACAGTTGGGCAGAAAAACTTATTTATAAATCATCCTTTCTCTGATGTTTGTAGTTTGGCATTTGAGAGAGTGATTTAGAGTTTGGCAGGTTATAAGGAGTCAAAAAATAGAATATCCCACAAAGTGGCTGCCAGGCTTTCTGAGACAGTCATTGTCTTTGGGTTTTCTTACGTCCAGGAATTTCTCCATATTTTTTCCCATGGTTTATGGCTTATAGATGGTTTATACCCCATTAGTTTATTTCACATCCATGGACCCTTCTCCTGTCTCTTAAAGGGTATAGCAATATATCTCCTCACCTAGGAATAGATTGTCAGGCCTTGCCAACCAACATGAAGGGATGACACTAAAAGTGGATGTGTATGTTCCTTCACATTAACTACTTACCTATAAGAAGTTGCTCAGAGCCTATTTGATCTCTTTAGTCCACTATGAAATGGACCTTTCTCCCACAGAGGAGATTATTCCAAATTATTTTTCTTATCAGTCACCAGGAAACTGTCATATCAAATGTTCTTTCCATGTTGTCCTAAAGTTATATGGGAAAATTTTTTCTTTAAGATAGAAAAAGTTATGAATACTTCAGTATTAGCTACACAGTTCCTACCTACCTCTTGGGGGCATGGCCCTATTTGTCCTAACCATTATAATCAATTTTTTCTACTCAATGTCCATAGAGCTCCTTCATGACACTGGCCATCTCAGTTTCAGACATGAAGTTATTTTCACCTTATAACTAATTACTCCCATGTATCAAGACTCCTTAAGTATCCATATGCCTCTTTTGTGGTATAATATATAAAGTCAGCAGGGATCCCCCTACCCTTAGGGTATAATACTGTCAGAACTGCAAGATATGTATCCTTCCTAAGGGATCAGAAAAAAAAAAAAATCCTGCAAGATGTCAATGAATCTCTTAGAGCAGGGGTCCTCAAACTTTTTAAACCGGGAGACAGTTCACTGTCCCTTAGACTGTTGGAGGGCTGTTAGAGAGTGCGGCACACATTCCACACATGCGCAGTGTGGTCCCGGGATGAGTCGGCTGCTAAGCAGGACAAGCAGTAGCAGCAAAAACACCCAGCAGTCTGGATAAATGTCCTCAGCAGGCCTCCTGTGGCCCGTGGGCCATAGTTTGAGGACCCCTGTCTTAGAGCTTGGCTCAAGTGTCTTTCTGGAAGAAATTGCTTCTCTGTTTACCAAAGTAACAGTTCTAGCATATTTTTCAATATTGACAGGTAGAAAATCATCTACCCAATTTGAAGCATAGAAGAAAATATTACTGAGGTTTCTTTTAATAACCATTCCTATTCTGTGTTCCCTTGTGTACTCTGGTAATACTTAATGTGAAGTTTAATACTGTTGTAAAGTACTATTGTATGCTTTGAAGACAGATTGCAGATGATTTTAATATACTCAATCTATATTAGACTGCTTTATTTATTTATTTATTTTTATATTTATTTATTTCAGCATATTATGGGGGTATAAATGTTAAGGTTATGTATATTGTCCTTGTCTCCCCTCCCCCCTGGAGTCAG